ACCATTGAAGGGCCAGTGTCCACGTTGGAATGGGTCACCTGGTTACCTTCAAATGGCGTCGCGGCCGTCTTCATAGTTGGGGCAGGCTGAATTTTATCAGCCACAACAGAGTGGTTTTCATTGGAAAATGACGAGGAGGTCGATGTATCAGAGAGGTCAGAATCCGGCGAATAATGGCCAGTCACAGAGCCAGTTGATGGTCCAGAAGACTCCGGTCGAATTTCCGTTTTATCCGTCTTATCAAGTTCAACGTCACCCGAGCATAGGATTCCGCCTTCTTCTCCTTGAGAATTGGACGAAATTTCCTTGAGGGAGATATCTTCTTGCCCAGGTTGTTTCTCATCCACAGATCCAGTTGGTGCATAACGCGGTTGCTCGACACACTCGTAAAACAACATGAATACACCGCCCTGCGAAAGAACATTTTTCTCACTAACTAGACTGACATCTTCATCACTGAGCCTGAACCAGCGCTCTGTGACCTCCTTCTCCCCATCCGCATCTATGACAGCTTGTGGAACAGTGGCCGGGAATGACTCGACTGAATACTTTCTATAACAAATGTAGTGTCCATTCTCATGTCGCCCGTAATGAGTTATCACAGCCCGCAGCTCGTAGCGTCTGTGGGGAATATTTGTGTTGGTTCCAGGGCGAGAAAGCATGGATTTTGAAGGATCCATACACCAAGATTCTATCTCATCGTTTTTCCCCGCCGATTTAGACCCCAAACACCATTCATCAAGATCTAAAATTCCTCGGGAACCTTACATCAGCATAATTCTTTCTGAGTATGCCCGGTTATTTCGTCGGATACACTCCGGTTCACGTGGATAACAAGGGACTTTGGTGCTCTTGCAATGACTGCTTGTCTTGATTTGGTGGACGAGACACGATTCCGCGCGGGAATATGGCACGTCTCAGATAATGTCTTTTCAGAGAAGTCATCTTTCTCAAGTAGTCTTTCTGGACAACCTTTAATCTTGTTTCCGCGGAATTTCGTAAAGCTTCCGTCAACTGAGGTGTGCTGGCTCCCTCTTCGAGCTCCGCATCCGAATCAATCTGTTGCAACAGCTGCCCCAGCTGACCTTCAGTTCGTAGAAGTGTACATTTAGCGCATTCAACACCCTCAATAGCCTCCAAAGTGGTATATTCGTCCAAGCATTCTCGAATATCGTACTCCCAGTTAGAGCCCAGGGACACTGTCAGACAGTTAAAGGGAATAACGGAAAGCCCTTCTGTCCATCCACATCTCATACATCCAACGCGTTGAGCAAGGAGACCCTCAAGCGGGTTGAGGAGAGTACTGCGTTTGTACTCTCCATCCCTAGAGGGCTTGTGTTCATCGTTGATCTGTCTTGTTTCATATGCTGGAACGGGACCACCCCTGTGGTTATTGCGCTCCGCATCAACAAATCTAAGTCCCACATCGCTTGTTAAGCCCTTAGAAGCACGGCGAATTTCTTTGTCTACCTGGTCAATCACTTTCGAAAAGTATTCTTGCGCATCTTGTTGTTGCCAACTGCTCATTGACTTCAGTTCCGGAGGCGTCCATTGCTTTCGACCTCCATATGAGGGGCTATTCAGTTTGTCGATGATTTCTTTTAGCGCAAGATGAGTATAAAAGGGATCACGGTCCCCTAATTCGCGAAGGTTTTCTTCCAAAAACTTATCCAATGCACGAAGCGAAGCGAATCCCTGGATTATACTATTTTGATAGCACGAGTTATCCCAATTGCCAAGTCCTGGAGGGCAAGGCTCCTTGAGGCCCAAAAAGGCTTGCCCGATTCCCGAGAGGCTCCTTCCCCGCGGAAGTGTTGTGAGCAACGAATTCGCATCCAAACCCAGGATTCTCTGCATTGCAACGCTTTTTGCGGAGTGTAGAGCTTCACGTGTCAACGAGGTTGCGGCCAACTCAGTATCCTCGTCAAAAGCTGCTCCCTTATCTAAAGCAAAAATGATGCGTGATGGAGTAATGAAGACGATGATGTTCCAAACAGTTTGGAGGAGGGTGGAAACAATGAGGTCAAGGTACTTGAAAATATAGTAGCCCAAAATCAAGGACACTACAAAGCACACTATCTTCGTTTGGGCAGGTATCCATTCGCCGAAACGGTCATCGCGATAGTTATCCTTCAACGGGCTAGTGTAAAGGTGATGGTGATGATTGTGAGAGGAGAAATCCGAGGTGCCGGGCATATTTCGTGAGCAAGTCAAGAAGCAGGAACAAGAGGCTAGCTCTCGGAGGCATCGGGGCTTGTCAGGGTGATCGATCAGAGAAGTCCCTAGCTATCCGCATGTTCAGGGTTGTACTGTAAGATGGATAGCAACGGCCTTGTGAATCTCTGGTGTGTGCGGAGTATCGAGAACTGAGGAGCTTGATATTGATGTCAAAGGTATCCAGGATGGTCGAGGGATTCTGGCCACAGGTGGGCGAGAGCCCGCTAGCTCTATTTTGGACTAGTGGAATCTGCCAACCTTGTCGCTTTCCCCGCTGGGAATTTTCAAAATGTCCAACTCCAAGAATCCTGGACAGCGAAGAAATTCCTAGTGATAGTTGTGTGATTCGATGTAACAAACCATACCCCCCACATCCGCGCAGTCATGGCAAAGACCGCAAAAGTGAAGGCAAAAGTTTCCTGTACGTATTATTTACCCTACGCAACCTATATTCGCAACCACACATTCTCACGGATAAAATCCAATTTTTGAAGCGAAATCCATGCATTCAAGAGCGGCAAAGCGAGCCGTGTCTCCGACAAATGAATCATTATTGAAGTTCGTTCCCAGAACAGAGCCTATACCGACAGTCAAGCCACATATCCTATCTGCACAGCATAATGCCGGTATTACGAAAAAGTCCAAATCCAAGCAGATCACCCGTGCCCAGCGGAAGCGGCAAGAAAAAGGCCTGGAACGTGCAGAATTGATTATGGATAGAACAGAAAAGAAAATCGCCAAAAGCATGGGCAAGGCAAAGGTTGTCAAAGAGCGAAGAGTGAGGATATTTCTTCCCTTTCCTGTCCTATTCTATTATTTGGTGGTCAATAAAACTAATGGACATCCAGTCCACGTGGGATGACATGAACCGTAAAGCTCTTGCTGTACCTGGCAAAGTGGTCTCAGGAGGGGATGTGGACGGTGCTGAGGCTATGGACGAAGACGCTGAACCGAATGAGGCGCGTACACCACCAGTAACGACGAATTTTCAGTCTTCGGTGCAATCACAACAGGCAGCATCTCTCCAACAGTTTGAATTCGAGGAAGATGGAGAAATCACTTGAACAGGAATCTACATACTATGGTATCTGGCATATCGAACAAAGAGAATTAAAAGATGTGGAAAAATGAAAGAAGAGTACGGCATCCGACCGAGCGGGCCCATTTCTATTTCTTTGGCCTCAACTGGTTGATCATTCGGTCGATTTCACCCACCGCTGAACCGGATGCTTTCTTTCTGAGCAATTCCAGGCTGTTGACGTCATTGGCCTTGAGGGCTTCTTCACCAGCCTTGACAACCATTCCGCACTTCACCCACATTTCGATTCTCTCTGCTATCGACAAATTGGTGCATTTGGGGATAAACATTGAGGCGATCTTGGTATTTCCGGCGCTTAGAATTTCATTGTAAAATGGCTAGGGTGACCTGCGTTAGCATTGACTCCGACATATAGATATTAACGAATGAATGAATATAGAACCATGAACAAGAACATGAAAACTGGGGAACAAGGCATGCAAAATTTACCTCCCATCCAATTGGAGACTTTTTGGGCTTGGCAAGTTCCTCAAGCTCACCCCAATCTCGTTTGGCTACCAAGGCCCTCAATTTCACCCACCAGAACGTCTTCTCTGGTACTTTGAATTCACTCTGGATTTTGTTGGCGCGTTTCCCATACCCAAATTTTATTAGCCTGTACATGGTTTCATTTATACTCAGGCCAACAAATTCACTGTTGCCATCCCCAATATCCTTGTCTAGTCCATCTTGGATTTTCAACAGTTGCGCAGCTTCCGTCAATGACTTCTGATGCGATTGCGCGCTCGCATCCTTGGAATCGACCAATAATTTAGACGCTAATCGTAGTTTATCTGCCATAGCTTGTGGGTCAGATTGAGCGATTGCATCTCTCAAAAGTAGATTAGACCCATCGACTGGGCGATCATCCTGATAATACAAGTCTTTGAGTAATTCCACATCTTGAGATCTTGCAGATGTCTCCACGAGCGCGGATGCAACTGGGCGAGAATTGATGGTCCGGAAAAAGCTTGCGAGTGGAAGTTTCCGTTTGAGCTGTAACAGGACAAAATATATTAGATCCGTATCGCCACTTTCTAAGGCCTTGTCCAAGGCGAGATTATCTTCTTCCATCTTCAAGAACAGAGGCACCTGCCTTCCCGCACGTGGCTCGAAATTAAGTAGTTGGGTGGCCAAATGTCCTCGACCTTCGTCATAGGCTGATTGTGCTATTGATTCAAATGATATTCCTCGCTTCCCCTGAAGTTTCTCTGCCACCAAATGGCAAATAGTATCATCATCTTCCGTGGAAGTCTTGACCTTTTGGCTGGCCCAGTGGACATAGATTTTATCTGTTGGGAGGCGGAGATATTCGGAAACGCGGATTGCAAGAAGATATTCGTGGCGGTGGATCAGTCGATCAATCAACTTGTCCGGGGTCAGGCGGAGATATTGTTCATATGAGATAGGGATACCGATCCGGTAGTCACGGACGGCATTGAGCACACGTAGACGCTCGCACATATCGACAAAGTCATCACTATTATAAAGATCAATTACTGACTTTCCGAACGATGCCGCTTTAAGGAGTTGCTTTTGCCAATGGGTATTAAATTCGTGGCCCGCTGCCTTTACACAGGTATCGACTGCTTCGAGAAGCTTAGTGCGGATGTGCTGAATGTTCTCGTCGGCCTTCGGGGATTTCCTTTCAAGTAGGCCAACTGAATCGAGGAGAATTGAGGCAGGAGACGTTGAACCTAACTTGAACACTTCTTCCGTAACATCTATGGATAAAATTAGCAGCTAATCACCTTCTGTAATGTACCATAGGAACATACCCGGAACCTTGTGAAGAAATTCACACGCGTCATTAGTGAGCAATCTCACGCCGTCAAAATCTGGAATTACATGGACACGGCCATCGTAGAAATACCTCAACAGATGTCAGCTGTATAAGTCGCGTTAAAAAAAAGAAAAAAAAAGAAAAAAAAAAAAAAGAAAGAAAGAAAGAAAGAAAGAAAGAAACGGGAACGCCAACCTCACTGCAGCGCCGTTAGGGCCGACCATGTGGACTTCATCCTCCCAAGAGAGCACAACAGAATCATTGCCACACCACACCACGTTGTTTGGGGGCGTTCTCGCCCCAGAGTGATATTCACTGAGCTTGTTTTGGAAGTCGCTACTTATAACCCAGACTTTGCCATCGCAAGTATACAAGGCAACAAATCGCCCATTGGGGGATACACTGACATGTTTAAAGGGGCCGTTTTGCAACATACGGTCCTCAGCATCTGTTGCGTCTACAACGTAGATCGTCTGATCCACCGCAAGGAGAACCTCGACTGAACGCGAGAGCGTGTAATTGGGAGGAATCAATGACCATGAGGAAATTTCCCCTTCAGGGGTTGATGCGAGCAATTTAGGTCGTGGCTCATCATAGCGGGAGACAGCAATGAATTGATTGTTATTCAAGAGAGCAACGAAGCCGTCCGACCAAAAACGGCAGGATTTCACTCCGTGTTCTTCTGCCACCTAAGTTAAAAATTAGCAAATGTCACAGATAAGGCTGGCTTGACACATGCCATACAGTTCCTAGAGAAAACGGCACAAAGTCCGCATGTAGACCATAGTAACATCGCACGGTACCATCTTGGGTTACTACAAGTAGCTTCTCATCGTCCGACCAGCCCAAGCCTCGGATTGACCCATGTTCCCACTAACACCAGATATTAGTATAGATAGCTCAATCCGGACAGGTAAGTAGCATGTTATAGCAAACATTAATTTGACTGATTCGTTTGCCAGAGCAGGAATAAATATCAATAGATGATTTTGCTGTCTCTGCATCCCTATATCTCTGGAGTTTGCTTTCATCGCGGTAAAGAGCTGCGGGCGTTATTAGAATTAGAACAAGGAAATATAATCAAGCTATGAAATTTGTGGAAGTAAATTTACCTATAGCACCTCCATACGGAGCTCCAGCAACAATGAAATTTTCCAACTCGAGCTCCTCGTCAAAGACATCATCGTATATTCGGACCTTTCGGTAGAATTGGTCTCCCACTCGCTCCCAGTCAGCCAGAGGGTTTGTTGGAGCCATATGGATTCCAACGCTGGCGTCAAATGATGAACAGTTTTGTCATTTCAAAGAATGTCTCTTATATTCGAATATTGAAATTGGGGTTTAATGTTTAATTATAACATATCATGTCGTTTATCTGGTTACATACAAGTAGAACAGGCACCCGGACATGGAGATTATCGAGCTTTCCCATTTTGGTACGCATTACATAACTGATGATACGGCTGAATACGCCCGTAAAGTAATCCGCCCTACCAGAGAATGTAAGTTACGATACTACTAATACAAGGGACATGTGACTGCCCACGATGCCACCTGCAACCAACCAACCAACCAAGCGAGATGGATGCTCTCGTCCGATGTTGCCAGCATGTTGTTTGTTTGAAATTAACGCCTTAGGGATTAGTCCTTTTATGCAATGGAATATTCTAGCCTTCATGATAGAATAGAAGACCTGTCCGATATTGAAGCGGTCGTGCTTCTCAGTCTCGTGGCCCGTCAGCATTGCATCATTGACACTGAAAGGGAGGTCTTGGATGATTTAGAAAATGAACTGATTTTGGTATTCTAAGAGTCCTCTAAAATTAAATATGTATGCCATAAGCTGAACTGACACCCTGGTAGATTGCTGAAAATATCTTTGGCCTTTCCCACGCCACCTTGGATTGCTCCCCCAGCATGACCGTGGAGGGGTTCAGTAATGCTGTCCTGGCTCCTGATGCTGAGAGACAAGGCTATGACAGACTCTCGCCATTTGCCGTTAGTGGTGAAGGGGGAAGGGTAAGGTCTTTCTTTCTTTTTCCTTTTTGAACATTCGTGCCTGTTCAGGGATCGTTATGTAAACGGGTTTTCGTCGCTATGCTGATGAATTACATGACTAACGTTATTGTAGAGCGTTGATCGACTGTCCTTTGGAGGTGGAAGATCTAGTTCGCGGGTGCGAGCAAGCGTGCTTGATGACCGCAAGGTGGTCAATGTCGTCATTGCCAAAAATTTTGACCAGGCTCCGGATCACATTCAACTACTAACACTCGATGTAAGTTGATATTTTAGTCTTCCTCAGGAAAGGGTACGGGCCACTAAATGGAGCACAAACCTAGCTCATTCGTACAAAACGGATCTATACGCGGACGTCTTTCCACAGCGTGCCGATGGCCTTTCTTTTTATTCCACTTATTGAATCCAAGCCCCAAGGACTCGCCTCCTCCTTAAATCTCCATTTGGTAAGTCTATTTTATTTTGATCTGAACCTTTTTTTTTTTTTTTTAATATAACAGGGGCTAAATCAAGGACCTAGAATGACCACATTTTCATGTCGTATTACCATGATCCCCAGAATGGGTTGATGAATCTTGAAGAAAGTAGTGGGTGGTTGTCTGATGATCAAGGGTCGATATCCTCTGTCATTCGAAAGCCCAGCCTAGTGCTATCCAAAGAGCCTAATGAGCCCTATTTAATTCGCGAAGAGGTATGGCGCCTCATATTGCCTTTTCATTCAGGTTCCTCATATTTGCATTGCGCTAAAAATATCTCCAGCATATCAATGCGCTACGGGAACTTAGCGATAATGTGACGTTTTCTGCGGAGATAAGCAGCTACCTTCAAGATATTATCATTGCTCTCCGGATGAATCGGGGAGTGGCTGGTGGTCTGACTCCTATCTCCACTCGCCATTTCCAGTTACTTGCCCGGTTAGTTCAGCCGCTATTCAGCTATTTCAAATACAACCACTCATTCGCCTACCAGATGTCTCGCACCCTTACAACGAGTGGATTATGTTTTCCCGTCCTTAGTAGCGCTTGCTGCTAGGAGAGTTTATCGCCATCGCATTTCCATAGCCGACCCAGCGAATGATCGAAGTCTGATGTATGGAAGTACGCTGAAAGCTGTTGATTTAGTATTGGCGGATGCTTCCCCGGAATCGATCATCGAGCAGGTCTTGGAGGGTGTCGAAGCACCTTTATGAATGGCCGCCGGTTAGCCTTTATAGCAATTCTCTAATCCCGTCAGAACAGGTTATATCCAGTTAGAGAAACGAGAGGGAAGCTAAGTCAGGGGTCGCAAAAGATTTGTGATGGGTGGTTATGAAAACAGTATCTCCGGCATTCTCCTTATCCCTTCCAGCAACTCAAAATTTATTCAGCAGTCATAACAACAGATTCTGTAGGTGAGTTCGTTACTTCCTTTTAGGATCCTTCATTCAGTTCACCCAAAATTTATTCCATTAGGTTAAGTCAGGCTAAAATTCTTGGATTTGGAGTTCTACCGCTAGGTTCATTTATTGATACGTTTGGCTTTTCTAGCTCCATCATGCCACCCCAAGCGAAGTTCTTATATTTTAGATATCATTGCCTTGGTGGCGTGACGGGTATCGTTCAACTTGTTTGATATCTTGAAACCACACTCGTCAATGTATTGAAGAGCAGACTTTCGAGGAACGTCTCGACATCGCCTACATGCATTTTATATGATGTCTGGGCACTTTATTTTTGATACCCATTTCCAATGCCCAAGCGACAAAGGAGTCCGCATGCTAAGGTCTCTAAGTTCTTGGTTTTCTTCTATCCTTCTACGAATTACTCTGTTCGTGACTCTCCAAAACAGAGCTGTTCTTTAAAGTTGCGGAGGGTATCAGTGTAAGAATGAATACACAACTAGCGTGTTGAGTATTTATTTAACCTAGACGTTGAATTTAATTTCACCGAGTTCGAAGGAAGCCCTCAGAATAATAATTTGTCAACTTTGTTCTTTTTTCATTTTAAGTAGTCATGATGGGGCATCTGGTTATGGATGAATCCTTTGTCATCCGGGCCATAAAGATTCAAATTCCCAGACTCTTGAGTGGGATCATTTCTCTTTCGAAAGAAGCACAAAAAGAACTAATAGATGATGCGTGTTTTTCTACGTGGTCAGTTCTCGCTGCTTCCAGGACAGACACGCGTTGTTAGGCGTACAAGCATACAAAAAAGCAGGTGCTTCCTATTCCCGCCTACCCCTACTTAATTGCGAACATCTCACCCTAACGCACAATCAAACTACTACATCTCTATCATTATCCCCCAAGTCGACGATATATCTTCAAAATAGCCTTAGGGGAAAGGGACAGCGGGAACACATCATCCATACAACAGGCTAATCCGGTTACAAAACAGAGAAACTCAGCCATCCAGATTCTCCCCCAAATGCATCCCTCAGAACCAGACGATGACTACGATCCTTACAAATATCCTGAATTCTATGTAAGCCACCCTTCGATCACTGAGCCTTCAACCCTTACAGACAGGAGGGTGAGGAGGGCGTATTGCACATACAAATATGCTCACTGCTTTCCCCTTAGCTACCCACCATAACCCCAGCCCCTGACCTCATCAACCTGCCTGACCCTCTAATTCCGGAATTCCGCCACAAGGACCGGGAATACAAACTCCTCAGCCACCTGTGGTATGTTCAGTTGGGCCAAAATCAAGTACGGCATCACTGGAACATACAAGCTCTTCATGATTTCTGGCGCAAGTGTGGTCCACTTACATTTGAGGGTAGACATTATGGCTGGTCACCGACCTGGATTGTCGATGCGCTTGATTCACTGAACATAGACCTGGAAAGGTTGCAGCGGACGGCGAAAAGGGTCATTTTGAAAAGGGCCCGGATGCGAGTGCAGGCAAGGCAGGTTCTAGAGAGTGTGGGCATACAGGTGGAAGATGAAGAACAGGTGAGTGAGGAGGAAGTGAAACTGGCTGTAGAGCTGGCGAGGGAAGAGGTAGGGGATGGGGATTGCGCGGGAGATGAGGAGGTGATGATCAAGAAACTTTTGAAGGATAGTGATACGAACAGGGAAAGAAACGAGGCGAGAGAGGCGAGAAGGGCAAGATTGGGCGCGTTAAAGGAGCGTGGAAAACGGACGATGGCAAACAGGTCAAAGGCAAGACTTGGCTGTCCCGAGAGCGATGCTGGCGATGAGTCTCCTACACATAAGCCACCGCGGGCACGAACACAACCCGTCACGCGTCCTTACCATCCTGACGCCGATGCTTCGGAGACGACCAAAAAGGCAGACAGCCTGTCACACTTTCGGCAGGAATCTGAGCCGAAAGGGCACAAGGAACAGAAGAACTTGACTGTCGACTTTCATTCCCATTTGACACATAACCCTCTTACGAGTTCCTTGCCCAAAGGCGAAACGGCTGATTCTGCACTGTCGATGGACATGGAGATTCGGGTATCCGAATATGAGGTTGAACCTGGATCGGACTCGGAACCGGAAAACTGGAGAGGCGACAGACGAGGTTGAGGCGATTTTGCAGAGCCATCCTCTTTTGACAATGGGGAGTTAGTGTATCCTGGTGAGGGCTGTTTTAAGTTTTAAACTTGCTTCCCTTTCATCGAAAAAGAAAGAGCGAGGCTAGTGGAGAAGTTGTGTTATCGGAACCCTTTATGATTATCTTCTTTCCACTTCATTTCTTCGACTTTCACTAGTTGATGGTACTATTCCACTTGTACCCTTTTCGAAAATGCGCGCCATTACTGTTTTCTTTCTGACTCGGAGCAATAGAATGCCTTTGAAAATTTCACTTTAAACAACATACTGCAAGAATGTGATGGTAAATCAAAAATATATAGAAAACATGCATCAACATGCCCGCCGGTGGAGAAAATTGGAAACAAAACCAGAGTGAACGGAGAAGCGAAAACGTAAATAACATATTATATATTATATAGTCTATAAACGCTCACTTCATACATGTGACGTCACCGCATATACATCATTCCATCTGCAACAAAGGTAAACATCACACCCCATTCCTCACCCTTTCTTCACCGCTGCGATTCGTCGCCCTCATCCGTATAAACATTTCCATCGGTTCATACCCTCCAGCATCGCCACCACCACCACCAACACCTACCAGCCCGTCCTCCCCCCTCACAACTGTAACCTTTTTCCACTCATTCAGAATCGCCTCAATCTCCACCCTCTCATCCTCCACAATAGCATCCATCTTAATATCATTCCGATCGTATCCAAACGGATCTTCCAACTGCGATCCAATCCCCTCAATACCATACAGCGTGAAAGTAACCAGCGAGACAATAGGCACAGCCCACCAGCCCATCTCATCAACCATGGCAAACGGCAGCACGGCGCCGAAGAGCGCCAACACCTGTTTCTGATGGATGAGGTGCGCAATGGGGATCGGCGTGAGCTTGATGGTCTCCATGCGCCCGTACGCATCAGTCAGCGCGTTAAGTTGGGTTTGCAGGTTGCTGGCGCCCGGCGCCGTGAACCAGCCACGATCCTGGCCGCGCTTTATGAAGCCGTCGACGAAGAAGGTTAGCTGGAGAGGCAGGCCCAGGCCTTCGTGCTCGTACGCCTGCAGGCCTGCGGGCAGCAGGCTGTCGTATTCTGGGTTCACCACTTGCTCGCTATCCAAGTCATCGTCGTCGTCGTCGTCGTCGTTGCCATGAACACCTGCACCGTTGACATTTACACTACCATTCCTGTCCGGGTGGCGCAGGAACATAGTACTCTCCGCCGCATTGCTGAGACTTGTACCCCCGCCGCCACCATCAATGCCATCAGCAGCGTTCCGATTTAGCGCCCAGGCCGCGCCCCATTCGGCACGCAGATAATTCTTCACGGCGTAAGGGATCGCCATGAGGACACGGATGGTGCGCTCCACATCGTTTTTCTCAGCGAGGGTGAGAGGCCCCGATGTCCTGTTATAGGCGTGCGTGAGAATCGTGCGGGTCAGGTTGCGCACGGAAGTGTTGATGACGGATAGGTTATTGCGACCATCCCAGAAGCGGTTGTAGGAAGTTTGGTTGCGGAAGACAAGGATGAGGCCAACGACTATGGAGATGGAGGGAATCTGTTTGTTTTTAGGGGGGTTGGGTTTATTTCCCCGCTTCTATTAGTGTTGTCTCGTTTTATAAAAAGGGGGTTTGTGGGTAGAGTTGAACGTACGATTGTTGGAGGCAGGCCCAGGCTGTCGTAAACGTTTCTATCCAGATAGACGACTAGAGCGGTGAAGATGCCGTGCAGGATGACGGGAATGAGGATTTTAGTATGTATAGCGCCTTTTATAAAGCGGAGGACGAGGGGCCATCTTTTTTTTAAAAAAAAAATTCAGTTTGATTATCAGTTTTTGAAGCTCGCAATCAAAAATCTTGTGAAAAAATGTGTTCGACTTCTTGCAATTGGAGATGTTTTTTTTTTTTTTTTTTTTTTTTTTTTTTGCTTTGTTTTGTTTTGCTTATTTTTTATATAACATCATTTTTTGGGGTGTATAGCTAGGACTCAAATCCCTTCAAGTGCATGGCTTGTGTACCATTCATACAATAACGTATCGCAGACATACTAAGCTCAATACCATACATACCTCCGTGGCTTTGAACGACGCGACTTGCGAAACGGAAACGTTTGTCTTCGCTGGTGGTGCCGTACGCTCACAACACTTCCATTTTTCAACTGGCTCTGTGGCGATGACGGCTCACTGAAACGCATAGCCGAGATGGATGTGGACTTGGAGAGGATCGCGGCCTTCTTATTCCCGCTTCCTTTATGCTGCGTTGTTGTTGAATAATATTTCAGGAGGTTGGGTTTAGAGTTGCGGATAAAATATTTAAGCTTAACCTGGGCCTCGGGTTAGGCCTTATCGGCTTATCGGCGCTTGGCTGGTGTGTCGCCTCCAAGTCCTTTCACGAATAGTGAGTGTATAGTGGAAGGAATAAATGAGGATACGAAAAGAGAAGAAAAATTGAGAAAAAAGAAATCAGCAGTAAAAAAAATGAGGTTTACATTTCAGCAAAAGCAAACAGAAACGAAAGGGTGCGCCGCTGTTTGAGAATCGGCGAGGACCCCCAAACCCTGAGCGCCAACGTGGAAACAATGGCGCGGGGGAACGGGAGAGAAGCAAGATGGGCGAATGGGATCCCGCAAATTAAAATGTGCATGCACATGCTGCGTATAGCATGAGGGATGGATTTGATACAGGAAGCAAAAGCGGGGAATGTTCGAATGGCGTGTCTCGTCTTCATCGCCTGTCAAATACTAACGATACGCTAGCTGGTTGCTAATGGGATGCGGGGAGTTGCAGGGATTGGCGGTTGATAACAGTCGTCGTGAAATCAACGCAGGAAGAACTCGCAGATTACCTCTCGATCCAATAAAAAAAAGACTCCTCCGTAGGAAGAAGGAGAATGGGGAGCGAAGCGAAGTTTGATTTAGCAACTGCAATATGTTTCCTTTGCGTGTTTGATATTTTTGGTTCGAACACCAACCAGCAAATCCACTGTCATCTAATCACTAGATATTTACATAGCACCGAATTTGCCTCTCCGCCTGCTCTGCTCACACTCGCTTAAACGCACGCTCTGATTAACATGAATGATAGAGAGATAACAGAAGAAAAAGCGGGGATTGACAAGTCAACTTAAGTAAAAGAGAGCAGCGAAATAAATTAAAAGCGGAAATAAATGATCATGATGCAAAATAAACATAAACAAACCTTTCTCCAATACAATCCAAATTCCAATCCTAATTCTAAGCAATCAGTAACCGCGGGGAGGGGGGGAGGAAGACCAACTAATGCAGAAAAAATATGGAGGTGAAGATGTATATAGACAGACAGAAAATTTTCTGAGTTTAAAATAATTCCC